ACTGGTACCTGTGCAAAGGTTGGTTTGCAATTATCTGTGGAGAAAAATGCTATTTAAATTAATTCAGCCACTAATAAATAAAACTTGGAATTTGATCTCTAGGAGCTTATAATCTAGTAGGGAAAATACAAATGTATCCAGCCAACTAACTAGACTGTTAAATAGAATTTTTCAAAGTTGCATAACAAAGACAAACCAAAATGCTGTTGGGAACACAAGAAAAGGAATTGCTTTTTTCGAGGTGAATGAAGAAAGGTTTCAAGATGGTGAGATGTGAGCTAGGTTTGAATGCAAAGCTGGAGGCAGAGAGAGAAATATGGGAATTTCAAGCTAAGAAAAAAGCAAGAGTAAAAACACAGAGTAGTACCTCTGAAAATATAACGTTGATAGAAGCCGGAGAGATCATAAAAGGCATTAACACAATGCCTTGGAAAGCTTAGACTTAATTCTATATAATGGGAGTGACATAATCTATTCAAGTTTTAAGAAAACTCTCCTGATAATGTAAAGAATAAACTGGGAAGAAAAAAATGATAATAGGAAGTCTAACCGGTTAAAAATGAGGACCAGAACCTGTTAGGTGCTGCGGAGTCGATTCTGACTCATAGCAACCCCATGTGATAGGCTGTAATCTTCACGGGAGCAGACGGCCAGGTGTTCTCTTGTGCAGAGCCGCTGGGTGGTTTTGAACCACCAACTTTTAGGTTAGCAGCCAAGCGCTTAATAACCATCATGCCACCAGGGGTCCTGGACAAGAACTGGAATGCTGGAAATGGAACCAAACCAGTTGCCGCAGAGTTGATTCTAACTCATGGCTACCCGATGTGTGTGTCAAAGTAAGAATCAGAGCAAAGATATGTGATAAGGACTGGGCAGGTAAGGTTTGGCCAGAAGAAGTGAAACACAAAGCCATCTTCTAAGAATAAGGAGTGATAGGCTTGGAGACTTAAGGTAGTTCATCTAAATTTCTATCCCCTTCTGAGTGTTTCTTCATCTATTCTTGTATTCTATATTTTTGACACCTTTTTAAAGCCTTCTGAAAATTCTATTCATACGGGGTCACTATGAGTCAGAACTGACTCGACGGCAATAGGTTTGGTTTTTTTTGGAAGGACACTCATGACTTATTTCTACTAAATACATATTAAATCAATAGCAGTTTATGAGTGATACGAGCTTTCGGGGGTTTTTTGTTGTTGCTGTTTTTTTAATTCGGGAACGCCTTCATTTTATGTATTTCTGAACACTAGTCTTCAGGACAAAACACTAAATAATCCATAAAGGAAGGACCCATATCAGCAAATGAATACTAATAATTTTATTTGCTTACATCTGAGATTCACTCATCTTCTTAAAATTATTAGGGTTTTGATATTCTATAATAGAGACTTCTGTTTCTTTGGTGGAATGGAACGTTCTTAAGTTTAAAGAGAGAGAAGCAATTATACATAACAATTTACTGTACTGATTATAACTGATCTGACTTCAGTTGTCTTCAGATCAAGACAGTCCACTGTACTAAAACCGTCAATAACTAAACGTAATTAATGTCTTCAAGGAATGTTTTTAGTCAATCTTTGTAAAGATAAAATAAAAAATAAAAAAAAATCCACAATATTTAAACTTCTTCTGTTATACATAAGGTTGCCAGGAGTTGAAACTGACTAGACACCAACTAACAACAACACTGTCTGCAAACGCTACAAATTAATACAGATAAAATGAGCTGAAAGAATCTTTAAAAGAACTATTTTTTATTAAAAATCTTCAAAATGCTGAAAAGATGGCAAGGGAACAGAAACTAATCCATAAATACCCAGACGGGCTGAGTTTTAGCAAAACAGAACTTTATGCGAGGTGGCCAGCTACTCTGAATGCCAGCTGAGGTCGCATACAACATGTAATTTAGAATCAGCACCGGGTTTGAATCCAAGCTGACCTCAGAATAAATCACTCTTCAGATCTCCCATTTCTCAATCTATCAATAGAAATGTTTCTAACTATCACATGGATTTCTGGGTGAATATACATTATTTATCAATGGCATATTTAAAAAAAAAATAAACCCCACTGCTGTCAAGTCAACTGGACTCAGGGTGACCCCATGTGCTTCAGAATAGAACTGCACTACATAGGGTTTTCTTGGCTGTAATTTTTATGGAAGCAGATCACCTAGCCTTTCTTCCACAGTACCACCGAGTGGATTCAAACTGCCAACCTTTCGATTAATAGCTAAGAGCAAACCATCTGCACCACCCAGGGACCTTGACTGGCACATAGTAAAAGACAAATGTCACGACCATTCCCTCCCCTTCCTAAACAGCCTCTCTCTTGAACACACCCTCGCATTTATTATAGGTCCAATCAGCAAGATTAAGTGACTTCCCACATTCCATTAGTTAAGTAGTAAAGAAAATATAGTAAACAGGTTATACAAGGGGGAAAGTAAAGCTAAGAAGGAACTGATGAAAAGCATAAGTTAAAGGCAAGATTCAGATGAAGGAAACAGCAGGTTGTAAAATAGAGTCATTAGAATGGAGAGGACTTAGAAGTAACATGGAGAATAATCTTCATACCATGGTTTCAATACTATTTTTAATGTGCATGTATTTCTTTTAAAAAACTGCATTGGTAATTCATTAATATATAACTTCCATATGGGCTGGAAAAAGATCACACTGCTATTTCTTACAGCATAACACATGATCTATATTAAATACTTACTTAAATTGAGAGGTTTTCGCCTAGAGAAGACAAGACTTACGAGACATGTCAACCGTCTTTACATTTAGAGAGCTAGCACAGAGGTTTGCTGTAACATGCCAAAAGATAAAACTTGGAGGAATGGGTAGAAATTACATGCAGGCAGATTTCTTTTTCAACATGAAGAATTCTAACAATTCAAGCTATTCAACCACTTTAATTTCTATAATGCTGTACAGTTTGCAAAACACAAATTTTCATTTAATCCTTAAAATAATCCCCAAAACAAGCAGCTTCCTGTTAGTTTAGGAAACTAAGTCTACAAGAGTCTTGTTAAGAAACAGTGGTAAATCAAAACTAGAACTCAAGTCCCAAATCTCAAGAACAGGCTGCCTCAAAGTAAAATGCTTCCCACGTCTAGATAAATTCAACCACATACCAAATAGCCATCTGTCAGGTATAGCGGGCAAGATATTCTAAAGTTTATTTCAGATCCAATCCATTAGAAGTACTGGTGGTCAATCTAAACACCATGAAAAGATTCAATAATGAATGGTCCTCTAGAATGCAAGCTGTATGAAGGCCTCTGTGTTTGTCATCTTGACAGCTATATCCCTATCACTAGAATTGTATCTGGCATATAATATGTGCTCAATAAATACTTATTTGCTAAATATGAACAGTCCTAATCACACACACCACTACTATATAGTAAAGGACCTTGCTAAAGTTCCCAGCAACTAAAAAGCCTGATAAAAACAACAGCCCACTCTTAAATTGCATCACATGTGATCTAAACTCATAAAACTTAATCAGTTCACAAAACAAATTCAATTATAAAAAAATGCAAATCTTTTGGCAAACCTAAAACATTATCATTAAAAGTAAAATACAAAGTCTTAAAACACTAAATTTGGTGAACTGAGTTTTCAACAGCAATATTCTTTGGTTACAGCATTCAACTAGCATTACAGTAAGAATAAAGAAATTTCCACAGCTGTTTTGGTTTAAAAGCAATTTGCGCCCAGATCTCTATTCACATCATAGTTTTACAAACACGAGACTGACACTTCAAAGAGATCTGCTAATTTTACAGGTACATATGTTGCATTAAGAATTCAACATAACCCATACTTAGAAATACTCAGCATTCACTTGGCATTACTGAAAACTAAGATAAACAGGAAAAGAACAAGCAATCAAAATGTCATTTTGTAATACTCTAAACTTTGTAAGGCCTAGAATTTCCAGCCATCTAAGTAATATTATAGCCTGTAAAATACTCCAAAATCATTTTTAATTCACTTTGCTTCAATTAAGTACATATCAACACATACATGCTTTTCTGGGAATAGCATTATGTAATAAGCAAGGTGTAACAACTACATAAAAATTTTACTCCAATTTCACTAGATAAAATTATACCATCTAAAGATTTCTGAACAGATTCTGATATTTAAGAGAAAAGTCTAGTAAACTTTAAAGTAAGCAGTTACAGGTTTATAACAATGTAAGAAATAACTAAGCCATTCACTTGGTTAACACTGGGTTACACCAACTAGATTACATTTCTACAATAGTGATATTAGCAAGTGGATCTTATCACAAACCAAGAACAGAATCTTGTCTTTTTTTTCTTTTTAAAATTATGACTTTGAAAGATCAACCAAAAAAATATCCCGCACAAGAATATCACACAATGACTATCTTCCTTATCTTCACAATTTATAAGTTTTTACACCAGCTTTTTTCATTTATTAAAAGAATAAACTGCTTTTCTCATCACTGGATTAATTATATGAAACATCTGCAATCTATATCCAACTCTGACATCAAAACATGAATCTGATTTCCCTCCACATCATTAGTTCCTAAACTGCACTCCATTCCTAAATCTCCAACAATAAAACCTCTTCATAAAGTTTTCCAAATTAAACAAATCATACAACCTCTTGGTTTACAAACCAATTGTGCTGGAAAAGCAAAGAGTAGCTGAAAGAAATGTGTTAATATATTAACCTAACAAGTTAAAAAAACTTTTAACTCTGCCTTAGAACTCTCCCCTCCCAGAGCTAGGAGAAAAGCTATATTGGACCTGTTGCTTTGTCCCTCCAACCCTCTAAAAGGTGTCATGGGCGCCCGGAAACGCCTCTCCTTACTCGGAGCTCCATCTAAATTCCTTTCTAGTCTAGGCTGAAGACTTGGGTGGTTTTCAAGAGTCCAATCACCACTTTCCCTGTCTCCTGGAGATGTCGCCAGCCCAGGCAAAGCCAAATGGACAGGACAGCGGGACTCACCTGATCACAGGGCTGTAGGGGCTCCGGGAGCGGCGCCAGCTGCTACTGCTGTAGGGGCTGGGGGACACATCGCCGTCCCGCTCGTAGGAGCTGTGGCGGCTGTAACTAGGGGAGCGGCGGCGGCTGTATGGGCTAGGAGAGCGCGGCAGCCGCCGAGAATACGGGCTGCTGCCACCTCCTGCCGGGCTGGGGGACTTGCGGCTCCTCAGGCTCTGCGAGGCCCTGTGGGACACTGGGCTGTCGTCCCGGCCTCCCAGCGGGCTCAGGGACCGCTGCCGCCGCCTGTAGGCCTTGGGCTCGGTCTTGTCTTCCCGGTAGGCCTTGGGCGGCTCCTTGTACGCCGAAGGCGGCTCCTTGGACGACTTAGTCCGGCTTCGGTGGGCCTTCAAGTCTCGGTCCTTGCGGCTACTGCTGCTGCTGGACGTGGCCGAGGCGCTTTTCCGGCGGCCGCCGCTGCTGCTGCTGCTGCCGCTCTTGGCTGCCTCGGCGCGTTCCTCGCCGCTGTGGCGGCTACGGGACTTGGAGGCCTCACTGCCTCCGCGCTGCCCATCCCGCCGCCGGTGCTCGCGGTGGCGCTCCTTGCTGCGGCCGCTGCCGCTGCGGCGGTCTCGGCGGGGCCTGCGCTCCGACCCCTCCCCGCGCCGCTGGGTGCCGGAGGAGGCGGCCAGACTCCCGCCGCTGCCCCCCGTTCCCCCGGCAGCCGTCGCTGCCGTTGCCGCGCTGGCCCCCCCCAGCAGCAGCCCCTGCTCGGACTGGGAGCTCACATCCTCATATTCCACCAGCGGGGTCACACCCCCGCCGCTACTAGCACCGCCACCGCCGTCCTGCTGCGGCTGGGGCAGCGAGAAGACCCGACGCTTCTCCGCCTCCTGCCCGGCGCGGGGCCCGCGGCGCCGCTTCTGCCGCCCTCCTGGGCGCCTCTTGCCTCTCGCCAGCCGCTTGACCTCCAGAGGGGGGCCCGGGCTGAAGCAAGAGGAGGAGGCCGCGGCGGCGGCGGCTGCGGCGGCGGCCGTGCCGGGAGCAGCCAGGAAGAGCAGAGGCGGCGGGGGCGGCGGCGGTTGCAGGAGCTGCGGCTGCAGGAGCGGCAACAGCAGCGGCGGCTGCTGAGGGGACAGGAATCGTCTCCGCTTGCGGCGTTCCTCCAACTTCTTCTCCGCCCAGCTCAGGCCCCCGCCTCCCCCCAGCGCCGTGTCCGAGCTGCTCGGCATTGCCTAGAGCCCGCCGCAGAGCGCGGCGCGGGTGCGGCCTCCTCCCGGGTCAGATCCTCGCCATCTCCCCCGCCGGAACGGGAACCGCGGCGGCGGAGGAACACCGAGCACCAGGGTCAGCCAGCAGACGCGCCACGATAATCCGGGTCGGGACTCGGGTCCCTGCGTTCCAGGTCACAGTGGGGTACGCAGCGGCCTCCGGGCCTGAGAAAAGCAGGAATCCGGGCGACAGAGCTCCAGATCGTGGTCGCCGTCCTATCCGAGGCAGCAAAAACACCAGATGCGCCAGGCGCTGACCTGCGGGGGAGTCCGGAGTCCTCCAAGTGCCCGCGGGGTGGGGGAGCGGTCTCGGCCGCGCTCGCAGCTCGGGCAGGCAGGGCGGGCAGCGCAACGCGGAAGTACCACCTTCGCCGCCGCTTCACTCCATTGAGCCCTGACGATGGGTGCGAGTTCAAGGGAGGGGAGTGGGCGAGACAACAACACGCCTCCGCTGCCTCTTCCTCCGCGTCGACGTCGTCCTCTTGTGGTGGCGGCGACACACCGCGGGTGCCTCGGAAGTGGCCCGGGCCTGATAACAACTCCCGGCCTAAGGCCTCGCGCACTCGGCGGACCGTGGGGATGGGCGGCGGGGCGGGGCGAGGCGGCGGCGACCGTGCTGGGGCTCACGCTTGGGGAAGCGAGTGTGCGGGGCTGGGCGGAGGGCTGTTTCCGGGGAGATGGGGGCAGGGGGCGTTTCTGAGTCTGTGGCGGTGGGTGCGAGCTCTGACTTTCTTCTTCCTTAGCCGCCGCCGCGAGCAGAGGTGACGGAGCTTCTCCTTTTCTCAGCTACCCACCCCCCCCTCCACGAGGAGCCTCCTGGTGTGCGCGGCCGGCCCCGGCTCGCTCCTCCCCTTCCCTCTCCGCTCTTCGTCGGGAGGAGGGGGAGGGAGGGCGATGGGACTTGCTGGTTGGGCCCTAACCCCCACAACCCCTCCTTCTCGCTTGGCTCTTTAGGCCTTTCCCCTTGGCCCCGACGCAAGGCCGGGGACGCGCACGCACGTCACGCTCCGAGAAAGCCGAGGGTGGGTGGTAGCGGGGACGAGGAGGCGGGAACGGTGTTGCCGCGCACTAGCGTGCTCGCTCCCGCCAGCGATGGGGCCGTCCGCCCCGGAAGTGGCGTACGTAGAAGCCGCTTTACTTCCGGTGAGGGTGGGGCTGTGTGTGAAGAAGAGTTAAAGAAAGGATTCGCGCACCAGCGACTGCTGTCGCTTAAGACTCTCAGTCGTCTCGTGCTGCTCATGCCTGTTGCTTCCGTCCAGCGCGCAGTTCGACCTGGGCCCTCCGCAGGCTCCGCACCACCTGCCTATTGAGTGAAAGGTCATGGCGGGAGCAAGAATCACTGGAGAATCCGAGAGGAATAATGCAGTTAGTGCCCTTCTGGGCCAGGCAGTCACCCTGGGCGTCTGCCCTCAGCTAAACTCTGGGATTGAAACAGCTGCGGGAGGAGGAGGGAGGACACCCCGCAACAGAGAGCGGAGGTGACGTTGGCTGACCCTGTCTCACGTACACCCAAGTTTGTGGCCCTATTTTAACCTAAAAACACACTTGGGAATTTCGATCTCGAGCTTCGTTAATAACTAAACTTAAAAAAAAAAAGAAAAAGCGTTAAATTGATCCCAGGAATAAATGAAACGTCAAAAGGAGCTTCTGAAAATCCCATGCTTATCACCAGGTGCCTTGAAGCCAAAACAGCTTGCTCGAATGAGGGCGTCCCTCTTGGCATTTCACCCACTTTCACCATAATATCTAAAACTGGTGGGGCTGCCAAAACATAACCATTCTATGACCTCACATCTCATTTATTGCCTGACCAGGTTTATCTTTTAGTTGTAGACTGGACACTCAGGATAATTAGATTAAAATCTAAATGGCTTATTGGCTTTTCATTAGTTGAAAAGCCAAGTAGTCCACTCAGTGGTTACATGTAGTCACACCTTTACAAATTTATTTGTCCAGACCATCACTTGGTTCTTCTTAAACACTTGGCATCTATGCATCATTCATATCTAGGTGTAAATAATTTTAACCAGTTTAACATCCACTAGCACTGTGTCTCAGACTGCACTGAAATAACACAAAGGGTGTTTATTTGCTGAAGGATAAACTAGGAGGCAAAGAAATAGATGCTTTTGAAGTCAGAGCATTTCTCAGGAGGGTATTGCTGGGTGGACCATACTGTGGGGACCTGTACAGCCAGAAAGAAGTGGTAAGGACATTGGGAAACTGAATAGATAAGTAGGGGACTGGGAGCCTAAAACGAATTGCTGAGTGAAGATACCATAGCCAGCCTTCTGCTCAAGACCAGTTAGCAAGTGGCTTTTTCTATAAAAATAGGATCTACCTGCCCCATATCCTGCTTTGAAATGCCTGGAGTAACAGAACAAGGTAAGCAAAATAAGAGGTTTATCTGGCAGTTTCCCAGATCCATAACCAGTTCCACTTGAGAATCTGTTATCTTCTAACTTATTCTTGCAAAGAAAACTTGATTCACAGTGAATAAATAGGTCCCAATCTAGGCTACAAACAGAAAATATGTTCTAAAATATTTTTAGTGGGGTTCTGCCACCCACATGTTTCCTCAAAGATTCTGTCTTGGGGTGGGGAGGAGAAGAAGAGGGAGAAATGAAGCATTTTGAGCTCCCCAAAGACAATTAATTGGTTACAATCTACAGCCTACATACAACCACCTGTCCACATGCTTTGAAATACTAACAATTAATAGGATTAAAACTCTAAAAACTGAGAATGACCTTTAAATTAGAAGCCATCTATTTCTGTAAGCCTGTCTGCTTGCCTAAATATGAAGAGATTTGAAATTGCCGTTTATGATTACGATTTAGTATTTTGCTATTTATGTGGTATAATTTATTGCCTCCTGGTTCAAAATAAATGTACGATGGTAAGTTTTTTTGCTTTGTTTATTTAACAGGTCATATATCAGCTGTTCTCAAAGTGCTGTCTAGGGAATTAAGACCCTTTCATTGGGTCTGCACAGTCAAAACTTTTTTATAAATTGCCTTTTTCATTCTTATTCTCTCATAAATGTACAGTGGAGTTTTCCAAAGTTAACATGAAATGTGATGACATCATCATTCTGATGGCTAATGGAATGTGTGCTTGTGTGTTCATATGTTTTCTAGAATGTTCGAAGGTAGTTGGTTTCTGAAATGTGTAAACATTTGGAATATCTGTATAACTTAGTGAGCCAATATTTTCCAGATGGCCAATACATGATGTTGCAAAATCATGAGTAAAAGATTGAAAGTGCAAGACAGACTGATGGGTTTTAATGTAACAAAGAACAAAAAGTTCATTGATCTGATTTCATACTTTGCAGCTAACCTTTAAGAAACTACTGTGGAGTTTTTTGGTGTATTAGCTAAGATAACCACAATTATCTGGAAACACTCCCCTTTCTCCAACAACATATCTTCTTTATATATTTCCAACATTGTCTAATAAATTGCATAAAAAGCACATATAAGAATCTAGTTTCAATTCTATTAAACCAAGCAGTAAAATGATTTTGAGAACAGTAAAACAATAACCCTTTCTAATATTTTTTGTTTTGTAAATATAGTTACATTTTATTACAAACGTGTTATTTATGTTAACATATGATGGATTTATTATTATTTTAAATGGATTAAAGATTTTTTAACTTTCTCAATTTTTATTTGTGATACGGTAAATATAAATAGATACACAAACAATAGCTCTTTGAAGTCCTCGATTATTTTTAAGGGCGTAAGCAATTCTGAGAGCAAAACATTTAAGAACTATACTAAATTTTTAAGGAGCCCTGGTGGTGCAATGGTTAAGCACTTGGCTGCTAACCAAAAGGTCAGCAGTTCAAACCCACTAGCCACTCCACAGGAGAAAAGTGTGGCAGCCTGCTTCCAAAAAGATTTACAGCCTTGGAAACCCTGTGAGGGCAGTTCTACTCTGTCCTTGAAGGCAGTAGGTTTGGTTTTTGGTTTATACTAAATCTTTGGAGTCCCTAGGTGGCATAAATGGTTAAGTTCTTGGCTACTATCCAAAAAATTGGCAGTTCGAACCCACCCAGAGGTGCCTCAGAAGAAAGACCTGACGATTTGCTTCCCAAAAGTCACAGCTGTGAAAACCGTATGGCGCACAGTTCTGCTTTGCAACACATGAGGTCGCCAGGAGTTGGAATCAACTTATGGCAACTGGTTTGATTTGGTTTTTATACTAAGTTTTGAAAATTTCAATTCTCCCCTTCATGTTTCTAATAGTACAAACAGTTTACAATGGTAAGGACAGGTCAAATGCTATTATTCCATAACCTTCCTTATAAGTAGGAACTTCCACAAAGTCTGTCGGTGTTGTTCCTCCATTAGTAAGGGTGATTTTTTGACTTACAATTAGGTTTTTCTCAGCCTTGCAAAAATTTAAACTCTATTGCAGCCCATTATTCATCACAATGAAGAATATCAGGCACGTTGTTGTTAAAGAAAAGAAAATCCAAATATACCCAAGCTGAGACAAGGGAATTGCTCAATCAATAATAAACGTGGCTAGTTTTTTTTTTTTTTGGTGTGTATTTGCTGAACACCTACCGTGTGCCAGGCTCTGTGCTAGGTGCTTTATGCTCAGTTTCTCATTTAATCCTCTGTACAGCACCTCTAAGTAGGGTGACCAGAGTCCTGGGTTTGCCTGGGGTGGTCCTGGTTTATGCCATTTGTTCAGTCATAATTCTTAATAGTATCTCCTTTCGATCACACAAGTTTCCCAGTTTGGACATAAATTAACTCATCACCCTACTTGTAAAGATTATTATCCACAATTTGCAGATGCAGAAACTGAGGCATAGAGAGATTGTCTTGCCCAAAGGTACACTTACACTAAGTGTGATTCTGGGATCCTAACTCAGGTCTGCCTGACTTTGAAGCCCATGCTTTTAAGAATTACAAGATATTTCCAAGTGATATAAGTGTTCCTGAGATTTATGTTGAGCTCAGTTATAGTAATATATTCCAGATGTAAAATTAGAAAGTATGAAGCGAAATTTATGATAAAATTTTGAGATCAATTTCACTAGTAAAACTCTGAAGTAATAGATGTGTTCTCCCAGGCTCACATTTTACACAGTCTAACACTATCAGTGCTTTGCAGGAGAGCAATGCTGCTTTTATGGGTTGAAGACTGGAGTTCTTGCTGGTAATGCTGAGGATATTCATTTATGGAACAGGAGTAGTGGAGTTAACTACTAGTGGCCTTCCTAATACTGATTCTCCCCTGATAGTAACATAACACTAATATTGTTGGAGGTATAAATGTAACCAGCCAAAAACTACAGCTCCCAGGATTCATTGCAGATGAGGGCTGTAACCGTATTATGCAGTTCTGACCAATGAAATGAAAGTTGTTGGATGAGTCGTCTGGGAAAACTCCGTATAACGGAAGGCTGATTTAACTGGCCTGTGCTTTTGCCCTTCACCCTTACTTTTCCTTACTTCTGGAACTCAAATGCAATACCAGGGTTTGAGCGGTCATCTTGTGACTACAAAGGGACAAGCACACCCTTGCTTGCCTGGGTGAAGGGAAGATAGAAGGGG